TGGTCCAACAAGTGGGTGTGGGTGTAAATGTCCTCTAGTGGGCCAGTCAAAGTGCTGACCTCATTCCCCCGTTAAAAGAAAAAATACAGAAAATTTCAAGATTAATGTCTGTCTTCAATCCCGAACTAACTTGAGATCATTTCTGTCAGGAAAAATGGGCAAACACTGAACCAAGTGTGCAACGCTAGTACAGACCCATCAGAAAGATTCCCAGCAGTAATTGTTTCACCAATACTGACTAAGGGAGTTGAATACTAAATTTACAATTACAGATCTCATTTTCTTTTCCATCTTGAGGGTTCCTGCCTGTGTACTACATGAAAATCATTCCAAACAATACCGGGACCATGCGGTTTGAATTAAAAGCATTTAAAAAAACGATCTTTGCCGATCGTTAGTTGTCATATCCATGAAACAGATGCCATAATGAAAGTTTATATTACATTTCTTTACATACTGGTGTGTTCCTTGTTTACACTGTAGGCAAACACTGACATGACCAGTCTCCCGACTGGTTAAATGAATATTGAATGTTTAATCTCAAAGGTTAAATACCCCTATGAAAAACAGTAAGAGTTCCAAACCAAAGAAGACTGAAACTCAATAGTACTAAAAAATATTTCAAGCTTTGCTTTTTACTTTCCAATAACAGGGCTTTCCTGCTTGACCAGAGTATCGCCACCCAGTAAAATAAATACAATGGACAAAGCCTTTATTGTTAAATTTCTCACGTCTCTGGATGATTAATTCCAAGTGTATGGGTGGGAAGGTTGTGTTACACCTCAAGATTTTTTCCCCATTAGCAAGCAGATTTCTACAAAATTTGTAATTCCCCTCCGAGCCAGACGGTTTCTCTAACGGATAAAACCGATAATGGCTAAAAATGATGCAAAGGTTTGGAAATTTCTTCTCTATGTGCTGTCCTAGATATTCGGCTAGGGCAATGGAAGACTGCTGTCAGGTGAGGAAGCATTATTGCTGCCGTGTATGTGAGACATTTTACGTCTTGAGGCTGTATTTTGTTTTTAATTTTATGTTACAGGAGAAATTTGAAAGCTTTTTTACTGTCGTTAACAAAACTTTGCCCAGTCCAGTTCCAACAAAACACACCCAACTGCCTACAGAAGCCTTAAAAATACATTTTAAAATGCTTTAGGTGGCAGCCTAACAGTCTTTCATTTTTAAGCAAATGCAGTCATATGTGCGCAATCTTACATTAGCCTAAATAATAATCTACAAGAACTACTTGATAAGGGCACCCTTCTTGGCCAACAACCAAAAATCTGATGCACCTCAAGTTTCAAAGCATGTAGCTCTCTTCATGGCCTTGAGCGCTGAGGGTATTATTCTGGCCAAATACACTGAGCCTCTCTACTGACAGCAGTTTAAAGTGCTGAAGACACAGAACAGAGTAATTTCAAATCTAAACACAAAGGAAATCATCATCCCCATTTGAGGCTTCCACTCTTTGTCGGGAGGGAAGCCAGACATTACCACTTTACATAAAAGTCCGTCACCTTTCTTTACCTGAAAAGCTCACATAATAATAATAATAATAATAATTATTGCTTACACTTATATAGCGCTTTTCTGGACACTCCACTCAAAGCGCTTTACAGGTAATGGGGACTCCCCTCCACCACCACCAATGTGCAGCATCCACCTGGATGATGCGACGGCAGCCATAGTGCGCCAGAACGCTCCCCACACCTCAGCTAATTGTGTGCAGCTAATCACATGCACATTAAACCTAGACATTAACAATAGAATAGCAGTGGAACAGTGCATTCCCTCCAGTTATATCCTCCAATCTCGTGAGCTCATTCCCCAGCATCTTGAAATTAGCTCAAAAACATCCGAAGAAGCTCTGGAATGCAGAGATGGACCGCATACACTGTCAGAAGTCACAGCCATTGAAAACTCAGGACTCGATACACATGGGCCACACTCGATTAAAAACAAAGTAAAAACCTGAACATATTCCTGCAATATCGAACACTTTAGCCCCATTTCACGAAACTCAAGAGATACAGGACACATTTTGCAAGCAATGAACGTGGATGAAGAGGTGAAAAAGAACACTGACTTTAAGCTTTCCACCACATAAGGCAATATGAGTGGGCTGCCTTAAAAACACTGATCCACCTACAGGGGAAAGCCTGGGTCAGACCTGTTCCTTTAATAAACAGACCTTTGAAGTTCGTTATCGAAGCCCTGAGGAACGAACTACTGCTGATCAATTTGTCTTTCCTTCTTCTTTTTTGTTACAGGGGAAGTTGAAGAAAATAAATCTTTCACCGCCATGACAAATTCTAGCAATGACTGCAATCTGATGTGTACTCTTAAAAAGTTGTCAACCAGTCTTTTAAGCACACCAAGCGTCTCTCATTAAATTGTACAGACATTAGGGAAACAACCACAAATGTCCCATTAATTAACCCCGTGAACCAAAACAGACACCATTTCAAATACGTTTAAATCACCACTCTTCATGGGGGGTGGGCGGGGAGGCTACATTCTGCTCCAAGGCTCATCGCACTCGAACCTGGGTCATCTGTGCAGCTGTGTGAGATTAATTTTTGCCCCTCCTACTAAAACACTGCCAACGTTGAAAGTTCAGAACTAAAGAAACAAAAACAACAATCGCGGCTACTCGGAGTCAATATCTGTGGCTTTCAAACTGCGGTGCAGATGAAAAAGTCCATCCACTCATTTTCTAACGGCTTCTACCAATTCAGGGTCGCAGGGGAGCCAAAACCTATCCCAGCAAGCAATGGGTGCAAGGCAGGGTACACCCCGGGTGGGACACCCTGACACTCACAGACAGGGCACACACTGACATACACTCACACTCACTGGGCCAGCTTTCCCAGAAGCCAATTAGCCTACCAACATGCCTTTGAATCGTGGGACAAAACCAGAGCACCCAGAGGAAAACCATGGTAACAAGGGCAGACCCACATAGCAACCCAGGTACAGCTACCACAGAAGGAAATTTTCTTCTGTAATTAGTCACATTTTTTATCGTCTTTGAACAGGACAAGCAATCCCCCAAAAATGCCCGACGGATCTCCAAAACAGCAACCTACCTAGCTAGTTAAGAGTCTGCAAAACCGTATCAAAACTACAAACCAGCTCTCAAGTTTTCTACTCTCAAGAAAACTTCAGTCAACAGAACAAAATTGTGCCGTGAACTGCTGGTTTTCTAATTTGGACTGGCCGAGGGGATAAAAATTGCAATGACTTCACTGTACGCCTCTTTAACAGCATTAATTCAAAAGGCTTTCCCCAAACTGAAATAATAAACGCATAAAACAGTAGAATATTTTCAGATTTAACGGTACAGACTTTCTAACAGTACTGCAACAAAGCTAGGTGCCCAGCTAATTACTAGCGATGCAATTAGTGGTCAGTTTTAGAAAAACAATGTTCTTCTTTATTGGTAGAATTCAAAATTAAGCCCATCAATTAGGGCATGTTCTTTCAAGAAACTGTTACATTATTCTTACAGCCCTCCATCTGGTTAAAAAAGCTAGATGGTATGGGTTTTGAATATTCTAAATATTTTAAAATACATTTTTTACGCAAAACTATGTGATGTTTTACATACTTATAGGATTTGTAATCTTTCATTACTGTTTTAAAGGTTATTACCCCCAAAAAACGAAAACTAAATTTTAACAGAAATGTACAACGTTAAGTTCTGTATGCAAATATCTTCTTCACGTCATAAACTACCTGTTCAGAGTTTTTACAATATTTTGAATTTTGTTTTTAATGATATAAATCATAGCCCAGTGCAGATTTATACTAGTTTACAGATTCGTGTTCTTGAGTTATTGAACATTATCCATTCTCAATCGCAAGTTTGGCTTAAAAATGTTTTTCTTACAATGCAAATTAATAAATACATAAGCCTAAATCACATAAACGCAAAAGCGTAATTGCAGTCGTTTTCCGCACCGAAAGGGTTAATGTATTAATCCTGAATTAAATATAAAACATAACCTCACTATTGCCTCTTTGAAATTTGAAATGTTCTCATTAAATTTAAAAAAAGTAAAAGAATCAGAGCAATGCAGAAAGCTACATTTTTGGCCCGAAGTGTTCATCCCTACAAAATTAATATTTGTTTAAATTTGAAAATTACTGTTAAAAATGAATTCGATTTTGTTTTTCAAATCAAACCCCAATTAAGGCCGTTTAAGACACTTGCCGTTCGTCCACTGTCTGAAAAAGCAAAATTAGAAAACTTGTCAAAAAGCTTAAATATTTTTTGCCTTACTGTTTTCAAATTGTGTGAGTGAAAAAACAATTCATGAAATTATTTCCAATTTCTTATTTTATCGAATATCTACCGACAGGTGGCGCCAATTTAATAAAAGAAATTACCTTTTTTACGAAATAAAAACAAACCTCACTGTCCTCATAATTTGTTTAAAAAGAAAACCCGTAAGTTTTTAGTGCATCAAAACCAATATGAAGTAATAAGTCCAAACTAAATATAACGTTTGTCGCCATCAAATAGTTGTTAGTTATTTTAAAAGAAATAATAATTGCTTTGGAAAAAAAATGAAACAAAATCTGAATATGGCTGCGTAGCTGTTTTGTTTTCTCGGGCTGCTGTGTGCCCTTCACATTCTGCACACAATATTTGTTGTTGTTTTTTTCCGCATCTTCTAACATCTTTGACAAGTTGCAAAACAAAATTTATTTATTTTTTAAATTAAAAAAAAAAACAGAATTTAAATAATGCCGGCAGACCGGAGTCTCGTTCAAAAGTTGATTGCACGCTCGGGGAAAAAAAAAAAATTTAAAACGGGAATTAAAAAAAAAGTCAAATAAAAGATCGACTTTTTAAAAAAAACCGCACAAGCTACAAACGCACGGATACAAATTTAGCAACGAGGCCCTTGCAAATTCATTTTCCCCAATTCTTAAATTTCAACCCCCCCAAAAAAAAAAACATGGAAGTACATTAGATGCGCTGAGCTAGTTACCTCCCCAAAGGATGCAGTTGCATGCGGCTACTGTTGTTTTGGATCGCGATCAATCTCGCCGACGGGAACCAGCGAAGAAGAGCGCTTGCTAAGGACACCCGGACCGGGGGGTGATGCCCGCTGGCTGTCCTGGTGCCCAGGCGAGGGTGCGGGAGGGTGCCGGCTGTATCCGGGCG